GACATTGCCTCAGGTAGCGAATACCTTTGGGACAGGAGTGTAAATCTCAAGACTGGATGGACCAAAATAGAAATCAAGCAGGTAAAATAGCTCCCCCTATATGGCTATCAGTGTGTATGTAGCTATCTGCCTGAAGTTAAAGTGATATTAAACCCTCAGATTTTTTAACATAAAACAATACTGTAATGTGTGCCTTACTGTAATCCATGGTTGTTTCCCTTCTCTTTGCTGCTCTTCCTTTTAAATCCTCATGTCTTCTCATGCTTGGGGAGAACTTCCCTTTGCAGCTGAGTGCCTCTTCCTGTAGTGCTAGCTCAGGTTGCAAACCTTCACACAGACACCATGTATCCATTTCAGAGACAAGGCAGTCTGTTGCAAAACAGAAGTTCTGCCCAGCATGAGAAGAGATACAGATTTAAAAGGAAGAGCAGCAAAGAGAAGGAAAACAACCATGGATTACAGTAAGGCACACATTACAGTATTGTTTTATGTTAAAAAATCTGAGGGTTTAATGTCACTTTAAGCTTTTAATGTACATTTTATTATTTTTATTAAATACATAAGTGCATTCATTTTTATACCTGCCTGAAAACTGAAAGAAGTAACATTGTATTTAATTTGATTACATATTAGACTCAAGGGTTGATCGGGAGAGTTGATTCCTATTTTGTATCATTGCTGTGGTTTGTGTATTTGTGTGTTTAGGAAGTACTGTATGCCTGTCTATGAAACATGTGTCATCATTTCATGTTTCTCTTGACTAGATGTAAATACATAAACAGTTTCCTCATTGAAAGGTGCAATCTTCCAACATTCAACTACCATTCAGCTCTCCCAGGGAGAGAAAGAGACCTTCACTATCTGCGTGAAACAGTTCAGATTGTTGTCACTGGATAAAAGGGGGGGGTGGTTTGCAATAGAACGTAAGCTATGTAAAAGTAATGTGTGCCTTTTTATTCGTATGATAATATCTTCGGTATAAGAACTTCATGTAAAAAGTATAAATAATTCATAAGGCCGTAAATAAAGAGATCTGCAATCGGCAAATAGATAGCGCTCTCGCCAATTATCTCTGTTGTGCAGGGCTACTTCTCTCCTCTCAGTTCATATTGCTGGCAGCTGCTCTTTTAAATCATTCATCAATGTGTATGAGGCGCTCTATGGATGTGGGCACCAAACATCTGAATTTCTTTTGTTTACACACTGGCAGTTTTGCTTGTGCTATACAATGATCAGCTGCATAAACCCGGGAGAGTATGGAGGATGTGTCATGTGAACCATATTCTGCAGGGTGTTCTCTTTCAGTCGTTTTATCTTTTCTGTTGCCGTTGCATTTGTCTCTGAGATACTGGGGGTTTGTTTTCTGTCGGCATTGTGTATGTAAATGTTTAGCATTGTTAGACGCCGATGAACTGCTGGCAAATAAAAAAAGTATAATGAAGACGAAAGGGAAACACGTAGAAAGATAGAATTAAAACAGAGATTAAAATATACCCGCACATACCAGTCCTGAGAGAAACATGGCTGCCATCGGTGACTTCCCATAGAGAATGCCAGTTTCATTGCTGTCTGTGACTACTTTATGAGTCAGTGATGTCAGGACAAGTATGCAGCCATGCGGATAGAGGAAGTCACAAAAATGTGGGGAAAACCTTGGTCAACAGAGGCATCCATAAATTGAGAGGCTTCTAGACTGGATTTCTGGTTGTAAATAGGATTTTATTTACATTAATGGATATAGGTAAAATACCTTCAATGCGTTTTAAGACTAATGGCGGCCTCTCCTACAGGATGGCATGTACCGAAAGAGCAGCTTCGAAAAATGTAGCTCCCGCTTTCAACATTGCTGCTACTGAGGCTGATCAAAGGCCTATGAAGCTAGTGGAGTTTCAGTATAGAAAAATGTTGGATGTCCAAGCCTCATTGCATTATCAACACACATTATGGACATAAGTCCATCAAGTCCAACCTACTGTGTGTGTGTATTATTATTATTATTATTATTAATAATATTAATATTATATTGGCCATATAATATAACAAATAAATATAATATTGTATTTTTTATTATAATTGTATATTTATGATTTTATTTTATAGGTCCACGGATTCCTACAGTAACTATTCATAACACAACTGACAATCAAAGTAAGGAAAAAAAATCAGTTATTTCCAACAGCTTTTTTGTCTGTTTTTTTGTGTAATTCTTATGTGTTTTACATTGTTTCCTAATATATGAGCAGGAAAGCACAATCACGCCGCAAAGCAATATTGTTGTCCTATGTACATAAAGCTTATCATTATAGACTATACAAAAGAAAACGGGTTTTAAAGCACATTGAGAGATTATTTATATCAAGGCAATCTCTTTTAGATTCATAGAAAAAAAAATCTGTTGCCAGGCAAAGAACATTCAAATGTAAACATATTCTTAAATAAGAACTCCAGGCAAACCTTTTATTAACTCTTGCAGTAAGGCTATCCCCGCACTGCAAGGGTTAACTGCTCGTTTGTCTAGGTGCTTAAAAATGATACTCACCCTAACTGCTGAGCCGGCTCCCTGCTTCTCCGGTCTCTGAAGCCTCTTTCCTTCTCCACTGCAACATTGTAATGTTCTTCAGTGTCCCCACGTCTATGCCCTGTCTATAGAATGTGATGATTTATGGAACCTTAGACCACTGCAGCGGAGGGGGAGCGAGGCTGAAAGGACCAGTCTAAGAGAAAGCCGACTTGGCGGTTCAGGTGAGTAAGGTTTTTTTTTGGGGGGTGCCTAGACAAAAACAAGCAATTAACCCATGCAGTGCGGGGGGTAACCCCACTGCAAGGGTTAATACAAATGTTGCCCAGGAGTTCTTCTATAACAAGCAGAATAAAAGTTCTAAGACAAGCCCTCACTGACCTGTAGAAGTTGTAGAAACTCTGAAGCAATTAATGATAATGTTTACAAAATTAACACTAAGGTCATTCAAGTCAGTCTCATCACTTTGCTCTCCCCCTCTACATATGCTCCTGCTCTGCGTTTATATGAGAGATTAAAAAGCTGGAATGCTTCTGAGTCACTGCTGAGAGGGGGAGTAGTGTGAGCTGAGCTGCCGAGAGGATAACTCAAACCACTTCAGTAGTTTTGCTGTAAACTATGAGGATGAATTGCTCCACAATGCATGCAGGTATAGTGGTCAGCGAGGAATAAAGTTTCCTATCCTGGCCATAGTTCTACTTTAAAAAGTGTATGTAAAACCATAAGATTTTCTCTCACCTCCAGTCCCATTGACTACTCAAACATTTTAGATATCCTATCACTTTCTTATGAGAATGGTCACCAGAACCAAGAGGGCAGAGAAGGCATTGAAAACTTGACAGAGGTCCCAACTCTTCCACACTCTATCCAAAGATAAGAAAGAAACTTGACTTTACATACACTTTAAGCCTGATATGCTAATTGAAATCTCTTTAGATGCTATCCCTGGTCATCCTTTAAGTCATTACTCATAGCTCAAAACTCAGGTTTAGCCGTAACAGGACTCTGCAAATGTTATGGGTGTACACAGCTTGTAAACATTAGCGCAGACACGTCTCTTCCACAATATAAACCATTTCTTTTACAGAGTGTTTTTTAAATATTGCTACTTATCAGAATAACGCAGTATGTAAAATGTTTGTTTTACTGCACGGTCACAATAATAAATACAAATGCATATATTTACTTCACTTACATTGCCAGCCTATACAATCTTTATGTGTTTGTTCTTACAAATAAAATAACTTATTTTGGTTACTTTACTTGTGCTGGGCTCATAAAGATGCTCAGGATAATGTAGTAGGTGATTCCAAATTATGCATAATTGCTTCATGTATTCCTTTACTTATTCCCGTAGATAAGGAGGGATCATTACTTATTAAAATCTACAATATTTTCAGTGAATTTTAAATTATTCAGCATTTGGATGATCCAATAATTTCCTTGTGTTAAGTAACAACCGTGCTTCAACGATGTGTGAAACGGAACAACGCATATCAGCCAATAATGATTCATTTTTCACTCATCCGATTACAGAGAGTTGTATTCTTGTAGCTTTACTGCACTTTTTACATTGGTGAAACATTATGGTAATAGCAGTCACAGGGTAAAGGGTAAGTTCACTTTCCCAAGTGAATTTGTGAAAATGGAATTGCATCCTAGAATCTGGTCTCCCCCCCCTCCCCCATACTTACCTTTCGGCAAGTGCTTCTTCCCTTCTGCCGGTATGGGTGTGTTATTCGTAACCCGTACTGCTGTGTAGTGCAGCCCTGCACTTTGGATTTTGATTTGGAGGGGGTAATTCCTCCAAATCAGATTGGAGGGGGTAACACAATTTTCCCAAATTCACTTGGGAAAGTGAAATTACCCTTTAAAAATCAATCACATCTTCCAGATATGACTACAGTGAGTTAAAGTCTGTTTGACTGCTGTGAATTGATGGACTTTGTATATAGTCATGGGGACTATGTGAACATTTCATACAGACTCATAGAAGTTGATTTCCTAAAGAAGTATAGAATGCTCACTTTGCAGACCCAAGGACAAAATGTAATCTATTGCAAATGTTCCATCCTAAATTGTGGTGGCTGTATTGTTGTTCTTTTTTCCAGGCTTTGTTACTTATTTCCTGCCAGTAACACGCTCTCTGTCTCAGGGTAACAGTCCTCACTCATTGTGATGTATCTTTATGTACACTACCATTACAGGCACGATCATGTAACTTCCTGTTGTGGTTATTTCCAAAACTAAAATTCAGACGGATACGAAATCCAAAAAACGAACTGAATCTAATTTTGGTTTCAAAATATAAAAAACAAAATAAATAAAAATCCGAATCAATCCAAAATGAAACAATTTTTTTGCGGGGTTACATGTCTAATAGGTCGTACTTCCTCAATGTACTGACACAATTTCACTCCCGAACAACAACTCAACATCTGAATAGTGTAACAGTATCATTACTTGCTGGAAACAATGCATGACGGGATATGAAGTCTTGAGAAATTAGGATTGCATTACATCAAGCAGCAGGGAAGAGACACAAAGCACACTGGGAATCCGGTTAGTTGATGAAAATGATGGGCAGACAGAAGGCAGCACTCACTAAATAAAAGGGATTTTTTTCAAGTAAGCTTTGATTGCATTCTCAAAAACAACTGTAGTATGTATTCCTATTACAATGCTGATGTTATACCAGGATAGTATATGCTGGGAATTTACAACTCCTTTCAATTGTTGTGTTGCCCAATTATTGGTATAATTTAGGGATGCACCAATATATTGGCCGAAAATTGCACTTTTGGCATAATGCCGAAAAGTGCCATTTTCTGGCTGATACTGCGGTGCATCCATCCTATTCTCTCCTCCCCGCTGGGCACTGCTTTGTCTCCCAGCGGGGAGGAGAGAAGCTGTGACAGGTGGACGAGCGCTGCAGGAGGAGAGCGCTGTGAGCGGCCAGCGTCTCCTCCCACACCGATCAGCCTCCTGTCACAGATCGGCAGAGCGGTGTGTGGGCGGAGACAGCCCGCACTGTCATAACAGACTGAGCTCCTCTTGCTCAGCCTCCTGTGACAGCTGTCAGGAAAGAGAGCGGTACAAACACTCGCCGATCAGTGATCGGTGAGTGTTTGAAAATTATTGAGGACATAGCATGTTGACTATCTCCTCAATTATGAATGAATGGGAAGTGATCTACATCACCTCCTGTTCATTCATGATTGTGGTTATAGTAAACATACTCCTGTCATACTCTGTCCTCATGTTATGAATGAACAGGAACACTCAGTATAGAGGATTCCTGTTCATTGATAACTGGGGCTGCAGAAAAAGAGATTGAGGACTCTGTGTCCTCAATCTATTTTTGTATTTTAAAAGGGCAATATCAGGGGTCGGTTTAGACCCCCAATATTTCCCAGAAGCCCCTAAAAGTAAAAAAATTAAAATATTTAATTAAAAAAAATGAATGAATAAATAAATAAGAATAAATATAAAAAAAAATAAAAAGTTCAAAATAAATAAATAGAAATAAAATATTTGAAAAAGTTAAAATAAAACACATTTTTGGTTTCGGCCTGACCTTTTTTAAATTCCAGTTTCATTTCGGTTTTGACATTTTCATTTCGATGCACCTCTAGTATCATTGCTTGAATTGATTGCATTAAAACAGAAGTAACGTTTTTTTTGGTGAGTATTCTTTGCAAAGTGAATTCTCACTTTATTCACTAAACTAAGGGAAAATTTCCAAGCAAAGTGAACGGCCTATTTACCTTTAGGTAACCAACCCCACAGAGTCTCTTCAACCACAAATAATTATCTGCTGGCAGTTTTTTACATTGCAAGTTTGGTTCGGCTTGAGCACAGAATATTTCTCCAGCCACCATTCAGGGGCCAGGCCTGATATAACCTCAATTTACTTTGAAAGTGTTGTGTGCACTTTTGGTGACAAAGAGGTTAAAGTAATCTTCTGTGATTGCCGAATACCTACTGGATGTATCCTTTAATTTCCACAATTTAGCTGTCAATATTGTCAGCATGATCATGTCACAGCACACAGCGGGGAATGGAATAATATGACACATTTAAATAAACACAGCCGGAGGGTAGGCCACAGATGGGATGTAAATTATTAAAGAGCTAGTAACCATAGGCATGCTTCAAGGTATATCACAGCTTGTTGTTGCTTTATTGTATTCTCCACAATGAAGTGAACGTGCTCGTGTTAATTTTGAGCTCTGTACATAGATAATGGAGTGTCAGCAAGAACACAATCTTCTGTCATACATGTTGGGATACATTTTGTAATAAGGTTACAGAATAGAGTTAGATGATGACCTTAGTTTCGTTTCCCAAAGTGCTTCTTGACATCTTTAACCACAACATAGCACTGCAACGTAAAGGAAGCCATTGTTTCTTTCCTGCAGAGCTTGGCATGTTCATATCTCTGATGTAAGAGATATACAAAGAGAATTCATTAATGGATATGGTATTCTATTTTGGCCAGCAATCTCATGTGTATGGTAGAAGGAAAATTCCTGAGGCCATCTGCATTCAGGGGGAACATTGATTGGCTAGGTTAGAAAATCCCTCCCATTCACTCCTATTGTTTTCTCCTCAGATGAGCCCCCTTCAC